TATGACTCATATTTCCTCATCTATATTGAAAAAGTATAATGCATTTTCATTATGGATAGAAAATGTGGATGCTTTTCCACCGGATATCCCCCTCCCACCCCACCGTTCGTTCCTCTACGCCGGTGTAAAGCGGCGATGCGCAACCCTGCCGCGCGCGCACGCTCAGCGGCGGGTCGGCCGCGGCGCGCCCCGCCAGCCCATAGCCTCACGTCGTCATTGGGCCGTTTGTGACCTTACGCTTCAAGATACGGCAAAACGAACAAAATTTCCAGTCAGAGGGCTATAACTTGCAATTTTACTGTAGAATTGATATGTCACTTGCAAAAATGTTTGAATTTTGGATTTAGGCCCTTTGAGGCACGGGTTGAAATTGTTTTAAAATTCTTTCCTTTTAGGGGGTTCATTTAAAGACGACATAGAAACTTTTTAGGGGTTGACCGACTCGATTTTCGCAAAACTCAAAAATAAGGTACACCCTAAAGGGGGGTCTGCACCCTGACCGCTATGCGGCCCAACCCCCGGGAAGGCGCCTCGCGCCCTCTGGCCCGCCTCGCGGACCCCATACGCATATGTATTGGCAAAAATTTTCTTCCATTTTAATACACCATTTGGTGTTCAAGCTGCATCGATTTCAAACTTTTTGACGTAACACTCAGATTTGTAAATGACGAGGAATAGCTGGATGTACATAATTTCACAGTCCACTTACTGGAGAAATTTCCATGTAATATGTTACTTTTAAATACATGATTAAAAAAAAATCGGATTTCGATCATTAAGAGTTAATAATATTTAGTCCGTCCCGACGCGACGTAGCGCCTGCCTTCTCACTTTGTATCTGCTGTTTATCTGAAGTAAATATTAATATAAATTCAGCAATCAGGTAAATTGACCAATGTCACAAATCAAAGCCGGAAGAATGCAGGAAAAATTGACTTAAACCTTATACCTTATACCTTGGACCTTGAACCCTGAGCGATGCACAGTTCCTCACCTCTTTGAATGAAGAGCCCTTCACGAGTTTTTCCATTGTTCTATAGTTTATTCGAGTCACTCAGGTAGAATCCTTTTAGGGGGTTCATTTAAAGACTACATAGAAACTTTTTAGGGGTTGACCAACTCAATTTTCGCAAAACTCAAAAATAAGGTACACCCTAGCCCCCTTGTACCTACATACAATTGAAGAAGGGACAAAATAAGCAGACACGACATAATCCCTCCAGGATTGAACAAATTGACCTGTAAACTTGAATTTGGGTATTACGTTACTACATTGTGTCAAAAATAAGGAATTGAAAATTCGGATAAATGTAATTTTTGCAAGATCTGGCAACTTTGTAGTAGAGGTCATTAAATGCAGTGTTTGGTGATTGTTTAGAAAATGAATACTTAACTAATTGGATGTTTTTGCACACTATGGCCGCGCAGGATTGGCATTCCATTATTATAATTTTTGCGCTTTTGGGACCATGGGCCAAAGGGAGCGACGTACAGCAACCATAATGAAAAAAAAGGGTTACATTTTGAAAAAAAATTGGACGGAGTACCAATCAAAGTTGAAGAAAAACATCTCTGACAGGCATTCAAGGGCCATAGCTTCCCCACAGTTTCTCTTTAAAACACGAGTACCTAAAGATTTTATATTCTCCCGCAAACTCTTGCGGAATAATAGTGGAAAGTTCAAAGTATCCTCTTTTTTGGCAACTTGGAACTCGCCTCAATATTAAATGGTCCATATTGGGTAGTATAAATTGAACATGATGGTCGAGTAAATTATGATCTCATCCTTACTATTTTTTTAAAATAACGTTATACTATAAGTTTGCCTACAGTCAACCAATAAGTGTGATAATGGCTCTGTGGTTTGTACATTTTCTTCAACCCGGCCACTCGGAAAATAATGAATTCTTAAAAAGCATTAGGAAACTATGTATCAGCATTGATTGAACTACATTTTGCGATTAGGAATCACAATATCTGGCTCATCCATAAAAGTACCTATCTTCATAAGGAAGCTAATGACACATCTCCTATTTATAAAATGAGCCAGAAATTGTAGTTCCTTCCTGCAAAATGCGGTCCAAATGTCTCAAGGTTACGGTAGGTAAACTTAAGAATTGCGTTTTACTTCCAATGCTTTTGGGTCCATGTGACCCAAACCCCCAAGGGCGCTTCGCGGGCTCTGAGGTCCGCTTGGCGGACCCTCCGTTGGTTCGATATCCAAGTCAAGTCGCTAATCTAGGACCTGTATCTTGATTGCCAAAGGCGATTTTGTAAACTATGAAATCAGATGATTGATGTGTACAAAATTAAAAATACATGCTCAGAATTTTTGAGGAAGCAAATAATAATAACATTGATCAGATTTATTGAGCTTATGAGGATACTTTATTTTAAGGAAGAAAATAATTTTTTAGATAGAACTTCACGAATCACTGATAAAATGTTTGGAATAGTAAGTGGAAAAAAGTGTAAATAGAAGAAAGAGGGGAAACGAATAAAAAAAATACCTAGATAAATCTTACATAACACAGAAGAGGGTGTCTCAAAGTCGCAGTCGTAGAGAAAACCGGCCCAACTAAATGACCGTAAGAGAGAGTGGAAACGGAAAGCGGCAAGAATCCGTACCTAGGTAAGGGAAATTGAGGGTGGGGTAAGAGCTCACGATTGGGTTGGCGCAGAATGCAAAGGGAGGGGTGATGCAGTGGAAAAAGTAGCGGACATGTCCAGCGTTAGGTCACAGAATGCATAGGGTATGTTGCTAGCCAATTTATTCTGTGGTTAGGTTTCAAGAGTTAGGTTCCGAGCGTCACGCAAACCATTTGAATCGAGAAGGTAGTATTGTCACATAACTGATTAGGCTTTGGGTAAAATCAAACATAAGAATGACTGGATATTTACCTGCAAATATGACTCATGGCATCTTCAAATAATACTAGATTCATAGCTGATACTAGATCATTATACTGGTTCATAGCATCAGACAGGAGCTTTGATAGCAAACTCCACTTTGTTACTGGCATATATTTTGGATCACCCAGTCCTTCCACAAAATGACAGTAAATCAGTGGTTTCTCCATGTACTCTGATTCTGGTAGCTCCTATACAATCAAGCGTCCCTCGTTTATTCGTACAGTAGAGAAAACAAAGCATATAAAGAGTCATATAACGAGAAAATGATGTGTAGGTACTTAGTACTAGGGTTCACTCCTATTTAGATGCAAGAAAAATGTAATAATTGTAAATTAATTGACTTCCGTTTGAAATAAATTAAAAATACAACTACAGAGCATTTGTGTAATGGAGATATGTATTTTTAGCTGAAGTGATCCATGATGGTATGTATAGCCTCTCTTCATCTTTTTCCTCTCCCTTTTTAAAAGAAGACAAACTCATGAATGTTTTATCTTTCTCTACTGAAAAAGTCTTCACTTGGAGAGATTGAGTGTACAATTTCATGATTTTGAGAGAGATCTTCCCAAATCAATCCTTAAGATAGACCTTGTAGACAAATATCCATCACCCTAGTAATCAAAATAGGATTACCTATCAAATAGGTATCGGCCGGATAGGCTATTTTATAGCTATTTATTTTGTTATTTTATACGGTATCGTACAAATAGCATATTTTATAGCTATTTCATGGATATTCCATGCGCATTTATCTTGGTTTAAAATTTCCGTTTGAGAATATGTATTTTATAGCTATTTCATACGTGTTTTTCTTCTTTCAAGCCACTCATCCTGTTGCAAGGGTTACATACCCAGTTCCCAGTTAGCATCTAATCTTCCGAAAATATCCGTACAAAATCCGGCACCTTTACATCATTTAAGAATATTGCGGACAATATTTTCACAAAAAGTCTTTATTGACTTTAAGACTTTATTTGGACTATTAAATTAAGGGATGTCATGTACTTTATGGGAAAGCGAATAGTTTAAAACACTAAATAGGTGGAATAAATTGCATCATTCAACCTTCAAATTTAAGAAACCCAAGAATCATTGTGTATTTTCCTAAACATGTTAGTGAATTTTCTTACTATTCTTAGTTGCAGCCTTGAGAACCATAAGATGATAAGTGCATTGCAACGTTGCTATGATAGGGCAACTTTATTTTTTGCAAACCAAAATCATATAGAATTGCAAACTTTAATGAAAAAAAAAAAAAAAAAAAAAAATTAAGCATAGCCCAGGGAATTTTTGCTAAAAAAGTTTCGCCTCTGCATGGTTTTGATTTGCTGCATTTATCGTATACAGTTGCACAATCTTGGCAACGTATCAATGCACTTACCACCTTATGATTTTCAAGGTCTCAATTTTGGTTCTCTTTCAAAAGTAAAATACCTTTTTAATAGGTTTCCATATTAGTGCAGTGGCTAATTACCAAAAAAGGGCAAATAGTGGCAAATCGTGATACAGTTTAGCGGCTTTCAGGGATCAAACTAGATGACATTTGAAGAGTTTTGAGTCGAAGAGGCATTTCAAATTTAGTGGCAGATCCAAGATGGCGGCCACTCAAAATGGCGTCCGGGCGCGTACTTTGAACCGCTATAGATCGAGATCCACTGAACCGATTTAATTTTTCTTTTTTTTGTTAAAAATGTAATTTACAGGACAATATAACAAAATCACAAAAATTTTGATTTTGACAATATACAGGGTGTTTTTTCCAACAAAAACCGGTTTTTATGCATTGAAAAAAAAAACTCTTAACCCATATATTTTTTAAAATTGCATTATTAATGCCACTTAAAATATGCATCATGCAAAAATTTAAAATCGTGGTGAGAACCCCGCTCTCCAAAGTTTGAATCCCCCTTTATCCGCTGAACTCCCAAGGATGACCGTTGTATTCAGAATAGTGTATTTTGTCCTTCAATCGAGAAAAGTATCTTCTTGGGAAAAATCAGGAAATACGTTCTTGAACATGTCCTAGGTGTACTACAGACTACTATCGCTACCACTCTGATATACTATATGACTGCATACGGAATCAGCAGAGTACATAACTTGCACGAAAATTCATCATTGTATGCATGGTAACTTCTCTACCGTTCTCCCTATCTGAGCGGCAGCCATGTTGGCCACCATTTTGATATTTCTGGGCTTCAATAAACCTGAAGTGAAATTCTGACCCCATCGGTGAAATTTACGACCCAGAAAACCCTATGAAAGATATCCAACTTGGCAGTTTTGCACGACTTTCGGAGATTTGACCCCATCCTGGAAATTTTGGCGGCCATATTGGATTTTGGGCATCCCTTTGAGCCGGAGATAATTTTGGACCTAACATTCGGACTCTACGACCACAGTTACATGGTGATAGACCCCTTACACGACATCAAAAACAAATTCCAACATCTTTAACCCCCGAGCCCCCATTTTGGCCGCCATCTTGATTTGGAGGGGTTGGACGCAAAATTGAGCTTGACAACATCTAAATTATTTTTCTACACATCGAAAAGAAGAGATTAGGCCATTTTTCACACTTGCTCCATTCACTATTCCACGGGAGGCTTCTTTTCAACATACGCCCCTGGATTAATTTATGCAGGCCCGCGCTGTGCCGCCGTCGCGCGGATCGCAGTGGTACGAAAACCTTAAATTATAGACCCATCATGTAATATATCGTTGGAAAGCTTAAAACACTTTCTTTGACATGATGCATATTTTAAGTGGCATTAATAATGCAATTTTAAAAAATATATGGGTTAAAAGTTTTTTTTTTCAATGCATAAAAACCGGTTTTTGTTGAAAAAACACCCTGTATATTGTCAAAATCAAAATTTTTGTGATTTTGTTATATTGTCCTGTAAATTACCTTTTTAACAAAAAAAAGAAAAATTAAATCGGTTCAGTGGATCTCGATCTATAGCGGTTCAAAGTACGCGCCCGGACGCCATTTTGAGTGGCCGCCATCTTGGATCTGCCACTAAATTTGAAATGCCTCTTCGACTCAAAACTCTTCAAATGTCATCTAGTTTGACCTCTTAAAGAGACAAAACACGATATGCAGCATTTTGCCCCTTTTTTGGCACTAAGCCAACGTACTAGAAGGAAAAAACACTGAATAGCACAGAAATAGACATTTTCTATATTGAATAAAAAAGGAGTCGGGGGCTCAGACCCTCCTTAGCTATCCTCTAATTTCTCCGTTGATACACCTTCCGAACAAAACAAAAAATATCTGAAATCAGTTCAGTAGAAGCGGAACTAGAGCGATATGGCGTATGCGCTACACTGCTATTTCGGAGGTCCATCGTGCGCCGCCGCCGCGCGGATTAAGATATTACGCAAACTGTTAATTACAGACCTATAATGTAATATACCGTTGGAAAGCTAAAACCAAGTTCTTTCAGAATAAACACATCTGAAATTGCTGGTACGCCCATCCTGAAAAGTTATTTAAATGTAAACGATTTTTGTGTTTCTGAAAAACCGGTTTTTGTGGAAAAAACACCCTGTATATTGTCAAAATCAAAATTTTTGTGATTTTGTTCTATTGTCCTGAAAATTACATTTTTAACAAAAAAAAAAAGAAAAATTAAATCGGTTCAGTGGATCTCGTTCTATAGCGGCTCAAAGTACGCGCCCGGACGCCATTTTGAATGGCCGCCATCTTGGATCTGCCACTAAATTTGATATGCCTCTCCGACTCAAAACTCTTAAAATGTCATCTACTTTGACCCTTGAAAACCGCTAAACTGTATCACGATTTGCCACTAAGTTGCAACTAGCCACCGCACTATATACCTATTAAATGGCCATTCAGATACCTATTTTATATCTATAGAGAAAGCTATAAAATACGGTATTTATAGTTGAAAAAAAGGACACTATATAGGGTATTTAGATAGGATATTTTATATCTATATTCAGCTATTTTATACCCTATTTTATAGCTATTTGGATACATATTAAATTGCTATTTCGATAAGTATTAAAAATAATATTTTGGCTACTAGGGCATGCCTTAACTGCTTCAATTACTGAGTTTTCATGTGTCCAGCGATGATCGTATCATTAAAAAGTAGCCGCAATACAGGAGTTAATAGAAGGCAAGAAAGTTGAGCCACAGCGCATGCTAATCATATTGTTGCTGTACCGTCTGACAGGACGCCGCGCACAATATCACTACATTTGGCGCAGGCTAAATTTCCAGAGTTTGGGTCTTAATATTCTTACTGACCTTCTGATTATAATTAGATCTTAGAATCAGGCTTTCAGTGTGCCAATCTTGAGAAAATTGGGTCTGAAAAGTGCACTTTCGACAATTTTATACGAGCCATTTCTCCATATATTATTCCAAAATATGAGGTTATCTACAACTTCTATGCTTATGCTACAAACGGTATAATATTTGTACAATAACAATAATACCATGAGAAATAATGCAATTGACTCGAAGAAACACGCGTAGTTTAATGCGACAGAAACTGAAAGGACAAATACCGAATATAACAGACTGGAGATATCTTGACTCAAAAGGGCGATGATAAGGTAGAAAAATGTACGGACAACCCCAATGCCACTTAAGTCATCACTTAGTACATGTTGGAAAAGATGCTCAAAATTGCATTTCTATGGTAACGATGACGCAACACGTGCTAGGTATGTTTGGTGCATTAGTGTCGTCGCTGAGTAGAAGAAGCGGAGTCTTTTATTCTGCACTGAGTTTCCGTGCTATTAGCGGCTCTGGTGCTAGCACATAGAGCTGCTATTCCGGTCGGTCTCTGTACTGGATGTTACCAATGGTACATCTACCAATGGTTAGAGCGCGCGTTGGTAGATGGGAATCGTCGCCATTTTCGGCTGTGGACCGTGCCATGATTTTATTTTAATTCATTGTTTTTTCTTGTGAGCGAATGATATGTCGTGTAGTGTATTTTTGGAATCATGGTGATAATGTCGATAATTCAAAACTGGTCTGTGCTTTCATCTCGTATTGAAAAAAATGTACTTAACGTTTAAAATCTGAATTTTCAAAATGACATGTTTTCGCGCTTTTTTGGAAGAATGCCGTGGTTGGAGCCTCCTAGTCGTACTACTTCATGGACGGATTCGTCCCTAGCGGCGTTGTTGTGTATTAATGCCTAAA